CTAATTTCCCAGATGTCTCGGTGAATTACCCAAACCCACATGCATCCTCTCCATGGACCCGGTAGGATTCGGTACATGGGAGCCCACACACCCCTAACCGGTCCATATGCTTGGAAGGAGCATTGTGAACCTCCGCACTTCCACCCAGAAAATCTCCAAGTATGTCTCCATGGCCACAGGTCAGATGGTACTCCTGATGTGTCTCTAAGAGCAGTGGGCCAAGCCTTGTGCTCAAGATCATCCTGAATGGCCATTAGCTGGTCATTCAGGAAATCTTGGATTTCTGAACATGCTAGATCCCACTGCAATGTCTTCCCAGCCTCAGTGATATTCAATACCATCTCCGTCAGCAACTTCTGGGTCATAGAACTAAGGGCTGAAATAACATGTAACTCACCAACTCCAGCCTGTACCTGGGTTAGCTGTGCCCTAGAAATAAGGCCAGTGGCCTTCTCTAGTTGTCCCAATTTCTCATCATGTTCTTGGCTTTTAAAAATATTCCAAATTGCTGCTGCACTATTGGCCCCATCTCATAGGGATCCAGTCAAGTCCCTCTTCTTTCTAGAGGAAATAACCCAGGCCCTCTGTTGTGTTAATCTAATGGTAGCTCCCTGTGAGCAATTTGGGTATGTAGAGGTGATCTGGAAACTGGATAAGGGCAATGTAAATTTAACAGTCCCCAGTGTAGTATTAATCACAGTCCATCGGTATCCTAATAAATCTCTCTTTGATGTAGTACTATATCATAGCAGTTATTTAACTATTCTCAGGTACTTTCAAGAGGCATTAACATTAATAGCATAGGAGGGGTATATTGTAATATGGTACAGGTTAGATTATTAATTACTGGGACCATCTCAATACAAATAAAATTTCCAGTGGCAGAACACACTCTCTGAGTACGAGTCTGATTATTTACTAATTGGGTAACCAATAACAATACAGACCCTTGGAATGGCCATTATATTAACTCCATTATAAAACTTTAATTTCAAATTCTTGAAGCTCATTTGTCGTGATATTATATACTTTTATCTCCTCTGTCCAGTCTTTTTTCTTCAAATTATATTTAAATAAATCACTAAAGTGTGAAGGCCTTGGCCATTGGTTTTATCAGATATATGGCAGTGTCTCTATTTGGATGTGTTACAGGGGTAATAGTGTAATGGAGGAGATGGCAGGGGCAGTGGCAACAAGGTGCCTTTGGTACTTGTCATTTAAAATCCAATTAGGGAGGGCAATACATGCTGAAGGATTTATCCAAAACACAGGGCGCAGCCTGTAGAATAACCCCCAAAATCCAATCAATACCACGTTCCCAAGCATGGGTCCCACAAGTTTCTTCCTGCCAGTGTATAATTCTTTGCTTCTTCACCCACGTCAGTTCTTAATGTCTTTTGTAGGCAGGAATCCCTGGACTTTGGTGGTTTCTATGGAGCGAGTGTTCCTTCTTCTCTTTTCCTGAAACAGTCGTGGTTCAGCATCATACAGGGGAGAGGTTACTAGCACATCACCCTGTAATGGTTTTGCTTCTTCTAGAAAAATCCAAAGGCACAGTAGGTCTGTCAGTGGACAAGGGAGAGGTTACTAGCACTTCACCTTGTCTTTTTTTCCCTGCTGCCCAGAAGACACAGCAGAGCTAGAAGGAGAAATAGGCTTATCATCAGTCGGAGAGTCCTCCCAAGGTGGAGGGGTCTTTTTACAGTGAGAAGCATGGGTCCAGGCAGGTAGTCCTTGGCACTTCACAGCGGTGTTGGTGGTTAACAGGACTTGGAAAGGGCCTTTCCAGCGTGGAGCCAAAGCAGTCTTTCGTTGATGGACTTTACGTAGACTCAGTCTCCTGGTTTCAGTGAATGGCAGGGCTGCTAGGGTCTTTGGGTAGCACTTCTCTACCTGTGAGAAAAGAAACCTAACACATTTCATCAATGCCTGGCAGTGTTTTGCAGATTTTACAGCTGCTTGGGCTCATTCAAGCCTCCCTTTTTCTTGGTTATCAGCCAAGTCTTAGCTGTGAGCAGTGTCCTTGAATTGGGGCCAGCGTCTTATCTTTGGACTGAGGTTGCTAGCTATAGTTTTCCAGTTAACTCGTTCTGTTCTTTTTCCTTCTCCCCTTCTTGGCTTCTTTTAACCTACAAAGGAAACGTCCACTCTTCACTCATACACCTTTTCTCAACAATGAACACATACACATTGCCATTATACAGTACATTAGTCTTATTATTCAATGTATGCCATGTACACCCTTCCAGTAAAATAACTTCTATACAGAGCTTTGGAGCAACAAACCAGGACAAGCACACCCACTTTTGAGGAGTCCACTCAGTACAACCTCTGGTGTCCAATAGCTTTCCTCCCTCCCCAGCCCTCTGGCTAGAAATCTGGGGTAGCCAGAAGGATCCCATGTGCAATATGGGGAGTGGGTTAACCTTTCGTGTCCTTGCTTCCAAAGACTGTTGGTATGCAAATTTTAACAACAATTTTTCTATGACAAGGTCTGGCCAATGAAGTTTCTTTTTTCTTACTTAAGCAAATGTATTAGACTTTATTATATCACATTTTCCTGATTTATCCAAACATTTTGTATTCCAACTTGACTATCTGCTTTTTGATTTAACCTTTCTATTTAATTTTGAACTAGACTGACTGTCTTATGAAAATATTAAACACAACACAACAATTCTGGCCACGAGACAAATACCACAAGACAGAACATAGAACACAGAAATAATTCCTTTTGTGCCAGTAAATGCATGGCATGTTGAATGCTGTTCAGCTGGCATCAGTTTTCTCTGATTATCTGAAAGACAAAAGAACAGAGGTCTACCCCTTCTGGGCAGTCAGTCATTGCTTAAAATATTTCCTTTATATACAAATAATCTTGTTGATTTCAGGCAAAACAGAGGAATTACCCCATATTTCTTTGTATTTGTTTTATAGGCAGCCCAGGTTTCAGTGGCTTCTACCTTATCAGTTAGATAATTTGCATTAATACAGATGCTTTCTGGCTTGCTTCTGGATCCAAAGCTATCCCCAGCTCAAAGATTCTTACTTAAAAAGGGACACAATTAACTTTTAACTCCTGTTTTCAAACATACAGTGATCTGAAAAAGACAACACAACCTATTGTGGCTCCCTTTGGAGTTCCAATATGATTTTCATTAAAGAGCATGGTCGGTTTGCATTTCTTTTACCCCTGCTACAATATACACTGCACATGTTCTGGGAAAATGCACATTTCCTCCATAATTCAACTTCCACAACACTAGTCACATTAATTTCTACATAAGGTGAAACTGTTTCTTTTGTGCTTACAAAATCTCCATGCAACCCTAGTAAAGTGACAGCTCAACCACACAGACCCAGGGGCACTGTCCTTCTCTCTCTTTACCAGATCTTTTCTCTGCTATTTTGCTACCCAAAACCAAATTAAAATATTTTATTCTCCTGGCTTTGACTACCACTACCAATTTAGCTAGGAGGGTGGGCTTATCAACTAGTCCCCACCCTTCCTGGTCTCTTCCCTTAAACAGTCTTACTCACAAGGCTACCCGAGCCCTCCCTCATGAGACTTGCCACCAGGGCTAAAACGCATGGCCCATTGGTGTTTAACTATTCAGTTTTCTCTTGTGGAAAATACACTGCTGTTACGGCATATGCTGAGCACAAATGGTTAAATTTTGACAAGTCCCTGAAGGACTGGCTACTTGCTTAGCCAGTGCTTCCTTTTCTGCCTGGAAGTCCTGTCTCAAGGCTTTTAACTTGCCACGGGTGTAGGTTTGAGTTGCTGCCTGGTTCATGATCTATGCTCTTAATTGCTCGATTCTAGTTATCAAGTACACAACTCTTCCCCTTTCTCCAACTTCTCTATTGCCCAGTCCTGCTACAACTGGGGGTAGATCCACCTGACACACTTCCTGGTCAACCAGGGTGGAGAGAGGAATGCTAAACCCTTCTCTGGTTCTCAGACTTACTGCGACTGAGAGTAGGAACACTTTTAATCATGCAATCCTCAACATATAACACTAACAGTACCCATTGTACTGCCAACCCCAGCATTCAAAAATCATGAGTGAAGCCCATGAGACTGGCTTAAAAATCATTAAATTTTTTGAAATACAATAAATGTTGGGCTTGATTTATTTCTGTTCTGGTTTCTGAGCCTTTAGGGTCACACTTGCATCACTTTATTAAGCGGTTCTCTGATACCATGAAGAGTAGAAATTAATTTTTTTAATGAAAGTTGAGACTCTCTCCTAACTGCATAAATCCTGGAGCTGGGACTTGAAGAAACAGATGAAATAGAATTGTGCGGGTTGCACATGGGTGGGGTCTCTCCCTTCGATGCAGAAGTTGATTTCTGCCCCTGTTCTTTGCAGTGTCCAAGGAGCTGGCTGGGGTTAGGCTGGGGATTGAGGAGATCCAAGCTGATCATGTGAAAGACCAATCACATCTCCAGGACGCTATAGGTAAGAACCATCCTTTTCGTTCCAACACCTGATCACTGCTACTTCCTTGTAGAGGGACTCCAGGGTCTGATCTTCACGTGTGGAGGGCAAGCTGAAATGGAAGGAGAAAAGGAGGATGAGAAAGGGGAAGTATGAGGATGGAGCAGGTAACCCTGTATGGATAATCCCATTTTAGTTTAGTTATGCTGGTGTCAGTGCCATGACTATGGATTTAGACTTCCATAGAAGAGGCCTGTGATGCAAAAGTGGAGTGTGGGCTACCTGATTGTGAGCCTACTGAGGTAAAAATTCACTCACTGAATACAACAGTTGGCTTGAAGGAAAATCAATGAGATGCTTAGATAATATAATAGTGGACTCCAGTATCAGAGCATAGATAAGTCGAAGGCTGTGAATGCAGACGGAGAGTGTGTTTGCGGATGGATGGACACATAGAAATTTCCAGCTGCTGTGAAGGAAGGTCTGAGCCAGCCCAGAAATATCAATCTGTTGATTCCAGTGGCATTTTTCTATCCCCTGCCTTCCCTGACAGAGATAAGGAACCTAACGCACAGTATGTCGAAGGACCTGGCTGAGGTGAGAAGGGACCATGACAGACTCCAGGAGGTCTTGAGCAGGGTGCAGGACGAGTTCCACTCAGATTCCTATCCTGAATCATGCAGAATGGAAGGAATTAAGCTCAAGGGGCCAGATTCTCTGCTGTTCCACCAGGGTGAATCTGGAGTTACTCTAGATTTACCCCAGCGTAACTGAGATCACAGTCTGGCCCAAGTTCTCCAGGAATTTAGAAATATTGTTGGATGTTGCTTGCTGTTCAAGAGGGATTGAGGGGAACTCGATACTTACAGTCATTTGAAAAATGTTGATTGAGCTTTGTAAACAGAAATCTCAGTGTCAGATGTGGATGGTTTGATGTGAATCAAAATTGATGTGTGTTTGTGGGGTGAGGGGGCAGTTATAATCCCGTGTGAATCCAAATCACAGAGTCTAATGGGGACCTAAAAATAACATTTGATTGCTACGGACCTGGGCAGGATTTCAGCTGCTGACCCTGAGGTAAAATGATTTTCACAGCAGCTCACTATGAAAGGTCTTTTGATATTCTGGGGATGACCCCACTTCAGTTTCCTCATCAAGACATTGCAGAAGGAATCCTGCCCTGAGGCAGAATCCACCTTAAGTTTTAAATTGAGCCTGGTGCCTGCTGGGAACAGGATTTGAGAGACTAGTTTGTGCTGGGAGGATGCCCATGTAGTGCAGAGGTGGGCAAGATACTGGTGTGAATCTGGAGTCACCAGAACCTAAATCTGACTCACGAGCACTACAGCTCATTGTGTGTCTATTTCACTATCCCGTCTTCAGTTCTGGATTTAAGGCTCCCCCAGTAACCAGGGTGCAGAATGGGACTTAACAGGGACTGTAAGATGATTCCTTGGTCCCCCTGCATGGAGGAGACCTATGGCCACGATATTCACAGTCCCCAGAGGCAGATCCTTAGCAGTTGTAGAAGGATTGAAAATTATCTGCAGTCCTCAGGGAACAGCAGCGTAATATTTAGTATCTACCGGCATAGGGAGGTTAACAATACACTTCACCCTGTCCTTATCCACAGACCTTCCCCCTGTACTGAGTCGAATTCCAAGATGTTGGACTTTTCTTTCTGTTTAATCAGGGATTTAGAGGGGTTAAGTTTCAAGCGGTGCACTTAGCAGCAAGTCAATAACTGTCACATTAACGCTTCATGTTCCTGTTCTGTTTCACTGACTATTAAAATGTCATCTACATACTGGACTATCCTTCCCGTTTGTAACAGTCCCTCCTTCTCTAGCGTATTTCTCACTACAGTATGAAATATTGTGGGTGTTTCACAGTACCCCATAGGCAAAACACCCCAGCACTATTGCATACCTTGGAATACAAAGGATGTTCTGTATTGAGACTCTGAGTTTAAAAGTAAACTCCAAAAGCCATTTCCCACATCAAGTACTGATAACCACTTCATGTCAGGGGTTACTACCTCCAACAGGTCTGGGTAACCAGCCACTACTGGTGCTCCCCGTTTGGCAGTTCTGTTCAACCCCC